TGTGAAGGCCTTTAAGACAGTACTAAGTGTGTACAGAAGAGAGCTCATGTCCCCTGCAGCTGGAATGCACAGCACAAAATAATGGCTCAGTTTTTTAGGAATGGAAGTGTAAAAAATGTAGGGAGATTTAGGCAAGTCATGCTGAATTACCCACAGTTGAATTTGGTCAATGCACAATCCAGGAATAATTGATATATGACTCTTCACTGCTTAAAGCGTTGCAGAGTCGGGAAAACATGACCAGTATGGACTAACAGCAGGCAGGAACCAGAAAGCAGGAGTGATCTGACGGCAGGTCTTGACATGTCAGTACAGCAAGCCCTGCGCAGTGCTCAATGTGTCTAAGTCACAAGATCAATATTTGTTTTACATTACAAATGAGCTAGGGGAGAAGAAAACCTTAATCTCATTTCATAAGAATGGCTCTATTATTGCTAAAAAGGACAGCCAGTAGGTGCTGGAGTTTTAAAAGGCTAAACTTATTAGCTCTGAGTACACAAGAAGTTGGGATTTCCTGATACTGTTATTTCAGGCTTAACGTTACTAGTGGGAAGTGTTGGTAAATCACTGCTTGTGGGGCCAAAGTCTCAATGAGTTACTGCGTGTTTCCCATTTCTGTAAGGTTCTGCAGCCATTTTCCTCCAGAACATGATGAAAACCCATAAAGTTCTCTCACGCTTTCCTTTCTCCCAGCCTCACCCTATTTTTTTCACATAATCTGATAGCAAAAGATATGCTGAACAAGGAAGTACAAGAACTCCACAGCACAACGGGGTCATTAATCTAAGGCCACGTCTACACTAAACCTGGAAGACCAGGTGAAGGTACACAACTACAGCTATGTAAAATATGTAGCTGGAGTTGGCTTACCTTAAGCTGAGTGTGGCGCTGTCTTCTCAGTAGGAGGCTGATGGAAGCAAACACTCCAATCAGCTTCCCTTACTCCTGGTGACTGGGAGGAGTACTGGTACTGACTGGAACTGCCCTCAGCATTCAATTTAGCTGGTCTTACCTAGACCTGCTAAATCAAACGTCAGACGATTGATCTCTGGAGTGGCAAATGGCTAAGGCTCAGTACTGAATTTGATTAGGAGATGGATAACTAGTAACGAAGGGCCCTCTCTCTCTCACTCTCTCTCTGCACATGCACAGCGCAGTTTACCCTGTATCCTGGCCTGCTCTGTGTGCACAGATCTGGCGGTGAGTGGGGTTTCTACAACCGTGCTTCTGTCACATATTCAAAGTATAACTTGTCCAGATGGGTCTCTGTTTAGCATTTGTTGTCTGTCATGTGCCTGATTCCATCTGTTCAATTCAGGATGGATTTCCTAGCCATTTCCTAGCCAAAGAGACTGTACAGCACAACAGTAACTGAGATTAGCATAATGGGACAAATGCCACCTCTTTTTCTAAAATTCCATGTTCCAAACAGCGCTGCTGAGATAGCTCCTAAGAAAGGAGAATCAGGCTTCTGTTTACTGTAAGGCTCCTTTATACCGTTCTGACCTGAAAAGGGGCCACTGGGCCACCATTTTTCCTCTCACCTGGGAGTGATGGTCACCAGTTTGCATGTGACTCACCAACAGATGCAGCAGCATTCTGTCACACCTTCCGGCAGGTCTTCTAGAACGGTGATTTTCAAACTTTTGTTCTCATGACACGGTTGAAGAAAATTGCAGATGCTCTCAACGTAACAATTTAACTTTTGACTAATGTGGGCTCGGGGAAGAATGAGGGGGCTGTGGCATAGGAGGGGGCTCTGGGTTCAGGGGGGCCGCAGGGCTAAGGCAGTGGGTTGGTTCTCATGGCTGGTCATGGGCTTACCTCCAGTGGCTTCTGGTCAGCGGCGCAGTGGGAGTGCTAAGTCAGGATTCCCGCCTCTTCTGGCACTGTGGACCATGCTGTGTCCCGGAAATGGCCAGCAGCAGGTCTGGCTCCTAGGAGGAGGCGCACAAGCAGCTCTGCATGCTGTTCTCGCCTGCAGATACAGACCCCCCCCCCCAGCTCCCATTGGCCAAGGACTGGCCATTGGGAGTGTGGAGCCAATGTTTAGGGTGGAGCCAACACATGGAGTCCTGTGCCCCCCTGCCTAGACTGGCTGCTGGCCTCTTGGTGATTCACAGTGCCAGGACAGTCAGGAAACCTGACTTAGCACCTCCACTAGTCATTGGGTTTCCCTGCAGCAAGGTGACCTAGTGCCCGATATTGTGTGACTCAGTCCTGGGTCACGACCCATAGGTTGAAAACCCCCTTACTAGGAGGTGTGATCAGGTGTCAAGAGATCTGGGCTTTATTCCCATTTCTGCCACTATTCCACAACAGTCCTGGAGGCAACTCCCATACCCTGCCTATCCCTCTGTTTTTCAGTCTGCTCCTCTCTAGGGCACGGAAATACAAATATTTGAGGCATAAATGCAGCAATACAAATATTTCTCAAAACCCCAGAGTCCTGAAAAGCTGGCAGCACACTGGGCTTTGAAAACAACAGACAGTAATTGTAGCGTATGCATGTGATTTCTCTGGGTATGTCTAGACTACATGGCTCTGTCGACAGAGCCGTGTAAACTAGCTTACCTGACATAGTCACTGAAGCGGGGATTTAAATAATCCCCACTTCATTAAAATAAAAATGGCCGCTGCGCTGTGCCGACAATCAGCTGATCCGG